TAAAGAGAATTAAGTTGTTTTAGCCATAACGTTTTCATTAAATTTGTAGCTATAAAAATAACCGTTTTTTATCTTTCGGAGCAGATAGCTGAAAGTTTGAAAACCAGAGTTAAGGAGGAACTACATTGCTGCACATTGCTTTTCTTAACTCTGTTCTTATAGAAGATTTGGGTGTTTGTCGCTTGTTGATCTGATGTTTTTCACGAACATCTTTAGCATAGGAAAAGCTTCTTACCCTCGTGAACAAAATAAGTATACTTTCAAGAAGAGAGAAAGATATTTCTTTATTAATCTGCACTTCAGTACTGTAACATATATTGTTTAAGTTACTTATAATAACTGAGTCCTTAAGCATTCCATTAACTAGGGCTTTGCTGTCAATAGATGTTACAAAAGATTTGCTTTGTTTACGAAAAAAATTTTCACATTGAATAAAAATATTTTGAGTATAAATGTTAGTTTTAAATAAACCACCACTATTCTAAATATCAATATACCATTTGAATCAATTTTGCATGCTGATAATATTTTCATGCATTGTCTTTTATACTGCTCCTCAGATTTAGAAAATTTAAACTTTGAGTAAAGTTTTTGCACAACATATCCAGATATTGAATTATACTTAATTCTTTCTCAGAAAAATTATTAGGTGATAAAATTTCATTATAAGATGAAGTATTATGTTTATTTCCTGAAAGATCTTGAAGTATATGATTGTCAACTTCAGTAAGCAAAGTATTGCTCAATAAAATATCATCAAAATTTGATGGCAATAAATTTTCATGAAGAAGCCCATAAAACTGAGAATAAAATTTTTCTGCATCACCATTGTACTTTGAAATAAAAGCCTGTAATATTTCTAAAAGAGAAATAGAATCTTCAAAATTAAAACTGAAGCTCTGCTTTGAAAATTTAACTCTAATTTCTTCAGGCAAACATAAATCGTTTGACAATTTATAAGCAGAATCTTAAACAATGTTTTTAAGATCAAAATGACAAAATGTTATGGAGTTTTTGTTTTCGCTCACTGGGTTGATTAGTTCGTGTTTCGAAGTTGTGTGTCTTTTTGAGCCATTTTTCGTTTTATAAACTTTACAACACAAGTTGCACAAAAAAATGGATAGTAAACAATCTTCAAATAATAAAACATCTAGATCATGCTCAATTTCTTTGTTATTGTCAAAAATTCCATCAGTAATCGCTATATACAGATCATCAAGCTGTGTTTCTATATAAATTTTATTTCTCATTTTTTAAAGTTGTGCAGGGTGAACGGGCCGAATATCAAATTTTAATTTAAACGGAAACATAACATATTCACAAAAGACAAAAAAGAAAACACGATAATCAAAAAAGAGATGTTAATTGCAAAAAAAAGAAACTCCTATAAAAAACAATAATAAAGACAAACTCCAAAAACAAAACAAGTCCTAAAGACAACCTCGAAAAATCTAGTGTTTTCACTCCAAACATATTGCCGTCATTTTTTAAAAATATAAAAAATACAAAACCAAACGATTTTTGTATCAATTCATTAGAAGACAACTCTGTAAATTATCAAGAAAATAATACAAATAAGCCAGAATTAAACTTTTCTACAGAGAGCATACTAGAATAATAAATAATAGTTTTTTTTTTGTAATGTAATTTTTTTAAAAAAAATAAACTAATTTTATTTCACTTACCGTATTATGTCATACCCATAGCTTGCAAATATTCAGAAGGTGACATTTTATTAAATTCCACACTAGTGTATGATGATATACCTATATTGCAAAATCAAGTTATCATACTCCCTTCTTCCCAACCATCGCATCATAATCTTTTTTTGAATCTTTTAAAAAAATGTTAATCTCTTTTTTTGTTTATAGTTATTCCGGCGTTACAAAAAATATACATATAAGAAGAAATTTTGATGTTATTAAAATTAGATGGATTCAAAGAACAAACCATTGCAACAGTTCGATAAACATATACCTGTTGCCGTTGTAAAACCGTACAATCCAGAAAAACCAAAACCGAATCCGTGTATGTGCGATTCACATGATAATCAAATACATAGTTGGGAAGTTCGTTAAAGCGATTTTATTTGTTTTTACAATTATAGAAGTTTCTTTTTGCATTTTAATTAGAAATTTTATACTTTGTTAAAAAAAGTGCTACACGAATATGTAACTTTTTTCAACCTGTTGGAAATTTTGTTATATCAAGTGTTATTGGAATTTACAACTTTTTAAAACCTGGAAAGTTTGCAAAATTGTTATTAGAAGTTTGCATGTCACCGTTTGTTGTATTAATTAATTTTAAAATTATATTAGTCGTTTGTTTGATAAAATTTGTTGTACCTGCGATATTAGTTATAATATACTGTATATTTGCGTTCTTTTTTTTGCTTGTTATTATTTTATCGAACAGAGTGTTGAAAGATATAAAAAAGCAAATAAAGGAAAATGAACCTGAAAGAAATGAAAAAGGAATGCAGAGAAGTGTTAAATAATATTGAAAAAAGAAAATATAAATCAATCGAAGAAATGATGGACAAGTTAGATTGTATTACAGAAATAACAAACTTTGCAAACTCAAAAGAATTTTATGATTTTTGTTTTTTATTAATGTGTATACAAAAAAAATATTTTTATATTATTGTTATTGATACTCCGTGTTATAACGAAAAACAATCGAGTTTCGAATCGTTTATCATATGGAAATTTGATATACATAACAAACGTTTAGTCGTATATTAAAACGCTTGAAAAATTTTGTTAATTATTTTAAGGGTTACGAAAAATTTAATTTAAAACACGGGCATGTATACGGTTGTAATACAATATTTATTAAATGAAAATGATACAAAAAATTTTTATTTTATTGTCCAATTTGATTGATTCCATAAGATATTACTCCTGAAACTGCACCACCCAAAGCGGCTCTTCCTATTACAGGTAAAAGTCTTGGTAAAAGTCTTACAGCAATTGAAGAGTTTATTTTCAAAACGCGGTAAACGCCATTTTGAAAATTTTTTAGAAATTGTGTGGTTTATTTTTAATTTATAAGGACCTAGCAGACATTGTGTCCGAATATATGCTAAACGAAGTATAACCTAATATTTTTTTACTTCTAAAAAACATTTATTTTCAAAACGCGGTATAAAACTTTTTATTTATTTTCAAAATGCGGTATTTAATTTTGACCAATCCGTGGCAAATGTATATTACTTCTGCACAAGCGCAAATATTTTAAAGTTGCGTTAAAGAAATGGCGGATTGCGATGGACAAGATTAACGCGTTACCTAATATCTTATTTCACATAGAAAAAAAGATATGATGTATGAAACAAAAGAAAAAAAAAGCATTTCTTAATTCTAGTGTTCGTTTAAACTACCATGCTTTGTTTGTTTAACTGAACGAATTATGGAATAATGATAGAAAATATATTAAAAAGGAAACTTAAATTAATAAGTTTAAATATATTTGTTACCTGTTTTTTAATGGAAAGCATTCAATAATAATGCTTCCTTTTTATTTTTTGTTAAACCGACAATTGCTTTGTTGCAAATAAAATGAGGCTATTGCAGTATTTCATTTTTAAAATTTTATTTCGTTCAAAAATATAACGATGACTTTTATGTTATATTAATTGTCCATTAGTTCTAAGGAGACTTAAAAATAGTGATCATCATTGTTACAACTACACAACACTAAAAAAATATTATTGTTTATTATCCATATTTAACTCTCCGAAACAAATATAAATTTACAACTGCGAATTGTGAAATGTAATAGTTTACATTACTTTAATAAAACATTGTTTACATTCACATTATCAATAACATATAATGACCAAACATTAAATACACATATTTGTTCAATATGTTAACTAAAATTAATCATTAAAACTTCTTCAGGTCTTTTAAAGTTTAAAAACTTTCCATAACATCTTTATAAAATGAATATATCGCATTTTGCTAAAAAGCTTTAATTGGATATACAGTATTTTGAAAATAAATGCAAACTTATTGACAAAAAAAAAAAAAAATTATTTAATAATATTTTATTTATTAACATTATATAATATACTTTATGTATATATACATTAAGAAACAATAATTTTTCCAAATATACGAGACATGTTGGTGTGGCGAAAAAAGTCAATTATCTCAATACCACAAAAATGGATATACCGCATTTTGAAAATAGACTCTTCAATTGTTCCTATTGCTCCTAAAAATTTTCTCCGCATTTGATTTTTGTAACGTCTTTTTAAACGTCTTTTATGTCTTTTTCTTTTTTGTCTTTTACGCATTTTAAAAACAAATTTTTTGAACAAGTGTTTTTTAGCATATTCCTGAAACTGTGGAAGTGACCTCGTCCAAATTGCTTGAATTTTTTATATATTGATCAGAATTTAGAGAAAACCTGTTAGGAAAAAAAAAATTTTAAAAATGTTTCGTTCACTCGGAATCTGAGCTTAAATTTTTGAGATTTTTTTAAAAATTTAAAGAAATTTAGTTTTTGCCACCTTTGAACCCATTTTTTTGGCAAAGCAAAAAGTTGCACATAGCTTTTGTAGTTAATATCAGTCGTAACCCAAAAGCTCTCTCCAAAAAATATAAAAAAGTTGCGTGACACTGTGTGGTTGGCTAATTATCATAGTTCAAAAGTACAAAATCAATCAGTTTTGTCAATTTTCAATCGGAGTTAATTCTAGCGGCGAAGTGTTGCACACAATTTTTCTTTTAGGATTTGAAATTATCAAAGGTATTGAGTCTAAAAATGCAAAGAAAGTTATGTGATACCTAAGGCTTATTAGTATATTAAGGCTTGAAATTGGAATAAAATGTTTTAGTATACTTACAAAATGAACCATTACGGCAGAGGCGCTTAGTTTTGTAAAAATGTAAACATATCCAAATATCAATACAAAAAAGTCCTAACATAATAATAAAAAAAATTCGTGTGATTTTGTCACACGCATGATATAACATGAATTAAAAACTGAACAAACATTTAAATGTTTTTCCATTTAAAAATTAGTTTTTCATTTATTAATAGAGTCATTTACACACATTATCCACCACATCACACATAATTTCTACTCTGCTGTAGTAAGTTTCTCTAAGAATAATAATATGACTGTATTAAAGTCTTCTTCGGATAATGAATAATCGCCACAACCACTGATTAGAAAAGGAGCATTTACTAAACAGATAATTTTATCAGTTTGGTTATTTATCTCCTCGGTAGTAACTGGCCAGCGAAAAGTATTCTTCTCTTGCCCCTTAATCATACAATTAACTCTGATCCCAGTTATAGATACCTAAATGTATTAGCGCAACATTTAAAATAATATAATAAAGAGTTTATGATTTGTTTAATTTTTCTTACATTCAATAAAACTTGTAAAGTCTTATATAATGTCATTCTGAAATTATTTTTACATTTTATTTATATTCCTTTTATTTTAGAGCACTGTTTTGTAAAACAAAATAAAAACTTGAAACTAATATATACTTTGAATAATATTACCTCCACAATATATCCAATATTCCATTGTTTTTCATATGCAACAGCAACCCAATCATTCACTTTCCTACAAGACAAATTTCTTTTGTAAGGTTGGCGATGTCTTCCTCATATTTATTATCATCTTCATTGTCTTCTGTCAGATTAAAGTCATCATTTTTGCCATAAACTTCTTTGTTATCGTTAACCTGACTATTTTTATTATTTTCTGTTGTCGGTTCTACCAGCTTACCTTTTCTTTTCAGGTTATTAAATCTATAACAGTATCAATTGTACATATTTTTAAACATACGTAAACAAACACACAAAATTATAACTTTTACCTAAATTTTAATTTCATATTTGTAAAAGAACTATTTAACAGTCAGAAACATAATCTAATTTGAAAAAGTTTTGATAGCAACAATGCCTACCTTGAAAATAAAGATCTTATCTGTTGGCTAGTTACATATTGATCAGGCGGAAGTTCTCTCCTCAGCTGCATGTGAACCTGCTCAGGGCTCATTTTATTACCTGATTCATCTCCACAAATAAAGTATTTATACAGCAGTTCTTTCTGCTGATTTGAAAATCTAAAAGAACTTCGAACTGGTAATGCCCAACCTTGCAATAGAAAAATGTTCATGCAATGTGGTTTGTCTTTTACGGAAGCACTGTTAGAGGATGAAGAAATTGGCACATTTAGTTGTGAAGTAATTTTCATCTTATGAACAAACGAGTTGCGACTTTATCCAATGATGTTAATGATTTCGGAACTGTATGAAGACCGGATAGCATGTTTTCTTCTAACTCAGCATCGCTTTCAAATGATAAAGTACAGTTCATTTCAGTGCAAAATCTTAATGAATATAATTGTCTGTCACTTCTTTTCTGTTTTTCCTTAAGTGACTTGTTACGCTTAATTGAATTATCTGTTTTGCTATATGGCATCAACAACTTAATCGAGGGTTGAATTTTAAGATTTTCATACTCTTGTTCAATTCCCTCACCGATATTGAAATAACGCCACATCTTCATACTTTTCTCACCAAACTCAAATGAGTGATAGTTGCTAATGTTCTTAATCTTTGGTCCAGTAACTACAGTTTTATCATTGCTAATTTGAGCAACTGCTAATTTTGCATCTTTAGCGTCAAAACTATAACGCATAGCCTTGTGTATATCTTCAGCAGTCAAAAGATTATTACCAGAGTCAACGTAACTCCTTAAAATTGTCTTTACAACTGCACTCTCCCTGTCACATTGATCTTTTTCACAACAGGGTTCATTATAATCATATCTCAGCAACTTTATGTCTCTCTCTTTGCATACATTGTAGATTGCTTCAGCTGAAAGATTTTCCTGATAGCAGCCGGCATTATCAGATTTGGTAAACATTTTCTTGATATGCGGTTGATCAATTCTGAATTGGTCTAAAACTGCAGTGGCTAACGAAACAACATCACCTATTCCCTGATCACACCTATACATTGAAGTAAAGTAAACACGTTTGAATAACTTTCCTGCTATTTTTATGAAGAATATATTCACATGTAAACTCATTCCTTTCTTGCCAAAATACTCTCTTTGGCCCTCTCTGTATCGAACCGGAAGAATTTTTTGACAAAAATCTTTAAGCCAGAAAGCAGTTTCATCGTTTTATTGCTTAAAAGCTTCGATTTTTGCCTTTTTCTGTTAAGAATCTCTCATCAGGTGTTTTATGTTGTTGAATACATCCTTTACAGCAATTTCCAAATCATAAATAGAATCAGCATCGTCAGAATTTTGAATTGTTAGTTCTTTGATCATCTCGATAGCTTTGCACAAATCATAGCAATCGGCACATACCATTTCTGATATCTCTGTGTTGGATTGAAGATTTTTTTCAGATGGATCTGATAAGGCATGTTTTGAGCTATGAGAAGAAATGTTAGAGTCATTGACACTACAATTGGTTTGATAACTTGTTTTCAAATACCTTTTTCCTTTTTCAAGGGCAGCTTCGAGAGATTTAGAACTAAATCTTTGTGCCAACTTTTAATGTTTGAAAACCATTCATGCCTGAAGCAGTAACATCATTTAGTCCAGCTAAGCTTTTTCGACTTGAAGGTTTTATTGCATGCAATACTTTCCACAAACTTGAATCAGATAATGGTATATAATTGTTTTCACTACAACTTTTTTGATAGAACTTGATAGCGTGGCTATATTTTGTCGTCAGTATTGCATGCACTATCTTTTGTTCTTCACCGCTGTCGTATTTTAATTTGGTTATTCCATAAGCAACATCATGCAATATTCCGCTTGTAAATATAAAGTCTAAGAAATGTACACTTTGTTTGATCAAGACTAGATCGGACGAATACTTTCTTCTCTGGAAATGCCTCTGCCAACCCTTTATGAGATGCATGCCATTTTCTTGCTGTTTCTATACGATGTTTGGTACACTCAAATGTGTTCATTATAAACTTTTTGGTATACTTGGTATGGTCTAATAATGAGAGGATAACTAACTTTCCCATGGAATCACTTTGCTTATATACTTTCTGGGCACGAATAATTTCAATTGCGAGAGGGCTATTTATTTCATCAACATTTTTACTGTTAAGAAAATCTATAAGTATTTCCTCTTGTCCAGGAGCAACAGCTTCCGCAAATTTTTTCTTTAATAAGTTTTCTAGGCGAACATACTTGCGTTTTAACTTATCTTTAGTAGTATCTTCCAGATATTTGAACTTCCTTTTTAATCTAAATTTTATTGGACTTGCATTAAGAACCTCAGTTACACTCTCACGGCTTCTTAGAGATTCGTCCAAAATCTCCTGTGAAACATTAATTTCACCGGGATCAAATTCTTCATCTGGATTAGCAGGTGTCATATATGTTTGTTCTTGTTGTGTTTGTGTTTCTGTACTTAAATTGGTGTTTTCGTTGACTCTTGATAAAGCAGTTTCTTGCTTTAAATGGGTAAAACACAGCATTGCACCAACTGAAAATACTTCATTGTATCGCTTTGACATTGATATGACGACATGTATTGGTGACGCCCTTAAAGCGGGAGATTTTTTTTCTTTTATATTTAGATGGTGAGGTTGAAAGCATGTTTTTGGAGGACTCCATGCAATACCAAAGGTGTACCGGTGAAAAGCACATATTTGTTCATCCTTTTCAAGATTTCTTTGAAGTCTATTTGCAATAAGTCCATTTTCTTCCTAAATATTATTATCGTTTAATCGCATGACCTAAAAACAATTTTTTAAACAATTATTAAGTGTGTCATTTAAAGCATTGTTTATAATCTGACTCTTCACGAAAAATGTTTACAAGTTTGAAATACATTGTTGTTATTATTAAAATACAATATTGCAAGAGTCTGATTAATTTAGTGATTATTTATTAAAAGAGTGAGGAATTAATTAAAAGAGCTATTTTTTTTTGTTTAAAGAACTTTGTCTCAAAATCTTATTGCAGAGAAGTTATAAAGTATGTAATTATAAAAATTATATTACAGTCTGCGTAAATTTAAAATACATAATTACCTTTAAGTTGATGAGGTGTTTCTTAACATCAACATCTCCCAGCTGATGAATGTAGAACATTTTGTTTATAATTTTATGTTTTTTAAATGATCCACAATTTCCTTTTGAAAAGCAACATCAGTTTTCATAAAAGTATTTGTTTTGTTCCATACTCAACTAAAAACAAGTTCTATTTATGCAGTACCTATTTCTCAATAGCAATGATAAAATATCTACTCTATTTATGCAAATTTTAAAGATCGTTAAAATCAAGTTAAGACATTTTTATGGTAAAGTAAACAACCGCCCACTAACTTGTTTCTCCACAATCGTGATATCAGCGATTCTTTTTCCATTCGATCACCACAAGTTATTTGGTTAAGACGTAAATTTAAATAATTCACTTCTGATCATGTATTGTTTTTTATTATTATTTATTTCAATTGTTATGATTTCTATATCATAGTGAGAAACGCTTGAATTTTTTCTTAACATTACGTGCAATGTTTTGTGTAATGCTAATTGCTAATTTTGGATGATAGAATTTTATTGTGAGCGAAAACCTCATCTGTGTGTCCAAAAAAATATCTCTTCGTACTTAATCATTTTTAACAATTTGTACCTTTATTTTTAACTTAATATCTTAAGATCACATGAGTTTTTTTTTAAACTATGTTAGGGTCATCTTATATTGACCATTTAACATGATTATATTTTTACAAAACTTAGCGCCTCTGCCGTAATAGCTCATTTTGTAAGTATACTATAACATTTTTTTCCAATTTCAAGCCTTAATATATTATTAGGCTTTAGGTATCACATAACTTTCTTTGCATTTTTAGACTCAATACCTTTGATAATTTCAAATCCTAAAAGAAAAATTGTGTGCAACACTTCGCCGCTAGAATTAACTCCGATTAAAAATTGACAAAACTGATTGATTTTGTACTTTTGAACTATGATAATTAGCCAACCGCACAGTGTCACGCAACTTTTTTATATTTTTTGGAGAAAGCTTTTGGGTTACGTCTGATATTAACTACAAAAGCTATGTGCAACTTTTTGCTTTGCCAAAAAAATGGGTTCAAAGGTGGCAAAAACTAAATTTCTAAAAGTTTTTAAAAAAATCTCAAAAATTTAAGCTCAGATTCCGAGTAAACGAAACATTTTTGAAAATTTTTTTTTTCCCCAACAGGTTTTCTTTATATTCTGATCAATATAAAAAAATTCAAGCAATTTGGAGGTGGTCACTTCCATTGACTGCCTGATTCTTACAAAAAATGACTCTTAACCAAAACAAAAGTTGTAAAAAGTATTATGATGATTTAAATTTGAAAGGATATGTGTAATTTTCGACTTCTCCTGTTCCAGTTTGAATCAATTGTGCCGCATTTTCAAGGTACAGAGTTATTATACCTTTGAAATCGGTAACAAAATCAACAGTAATTTGTAAGGAATTGTTTCCTTGAATGGTAGCCGGAGGTTTGTCGTTAATAAAATTATAATTGCTAATCGTGTCAATAGCTAAAGGTTCTGTTAAATTACGCGTTTTACTGAAACAATCAGAAGGAC